TCCTGTGGTGTTGGGTCCTCGTTTTGAAGAAACGGTCCCCGCGTTCTCCTCTTCTCCTCTACTCCTCCTCCCCCCCCTCCTCCCTCCTCCCGTCACCCCCTTACTTTGGTACACCCCTCAAACGCTTCGTGGCCCCATAGGGAGCTCCACCGGAGGCACTAGTGGGGGTGCCCGCATGCGCTCCCCACTCCCATTCTCGCACACCCCTCACACGTTTCGTGGCCGCATAGGGTACTCCACCGAAGGCCCTGGTGGGGGTGCCCGCATGCGGTCCCCACACCCATTTTGGCACACCCCTCACACGTTTCGTGACCCCGTAGGGAGTGCCACCGAAGGCCCTAGTGGGGGTGCCCGCATGCGGTCCCACACCCATTTTGGTACACACCTCACACGTTTCGTGGCCCCATATGGAGCTCCACCGAAGGCCCTAGTGGGGGTGCCCGCATGTGGTCCCCACACACCCCTCACAGGCTTCGTGGCCCCACGGGGAGCTCCACCGAAGGCCCCAGTGGGGGTGCCGCATGCGGTCCCCACACCCATTTCGCCACACCCCTCCCACGTTTCGTGGCCTCAAAAAGAGGGGAGCTCCTCCGAAAACTATAGTGGGGGTGCCCGCACCCAGTTCCCACACCCATTTTGGTACACACCTCACACGCTTCGTGGCCACATAGGGAGCTCCACCGAAGGCCCTAGTGGGGGTGCCCGCATGCGGTCCCCACACCCAGTTTAGCACACTCCCCCCACGTTTCGTAGCCTCATAGGGAGCTCCACCGAAGGCCCTCCCAACAGTGAACTCCACCGAAGGCCCCAGTGCCACCGTCCACATGCGCCCCCCACACCCATTTCGGCACACCACTCACATGTTTCGTGGCCCCATAAGGAGATCCACCGAAGGCCCCAGTGCCACGGTCCACACGCGCCCGCCGCACCCATTTCCCCACCGAAGGCCCTAGTGGGGGTGCTCGCATGCGGTCCCCACGCCCATTTTTGCACACTCTTTACACGGGGCAATTGCCTTGCATGTGTTGACGGCGCCCCCGTGTCGCGTCGCGCCCCCCCCCAAGCCCAGTGCTTCGGCGCTGGCTGGCCCCGTGCTCGGGCCGCTGTGCGCGCGCAGCACTGACACGTGCACCTGTGGTCTAGTGGCTATGACGTCAGCCCCACACGCTGCAGGTCGCCAGCTCGATCTTGGCCAGGTGTATTGTGCAGCAGTCGTTCGCAGGCGCACTCGCCGCACACGTGGGCCCGCGCGACCCTGACCAACGCGCCGACCGCTGCCGCACCGTCCATATGCGTCCCCCTCACCCATTTCGGCACACCTCTCACACGCTTCGTGGCCCCACAAGGAGTTCCACCGAAGGCCCCAGTGCCACCGTCCACATGCGACCCCCACACCCCGTTCGGCACACCCCTCGCACGCGTCGAGGCCCCATATGGATCTCCACCGAAGGCCCCAATGCCACCGTCCACATGCGCCCCCACCACACCCGTTCCGGCACACCGCTCACACGTTTCGAGACCCCATATGAATCTCCACCGAAGGCCCCAATGCCACCGTCCACATGCGTCCCCACACCCATTTTGGCACACCCCTCAAACGTTTCGTGGCCGCATAGGGGGCTCCACCGAAGGCCCCAGTGCCCCCAGCCACATGCGTCCTCCGCACCCATTTCGACACACCCCTCACACGTTTCGTGGCCCCATAGGGAGCTCCACCGAAGGCCCCAGTGACACCCTCCAGCTGCGTCCCCCACACCCGTTTCGGCACACTCCTCACATTCTTCGTGGCCCCATATGGATCTCCACCGAACGCCCCAGTGACACCGTCCACGTGCGTCTCCCACACCCGTTCCGGCACACTCCTCACACGTTTCGAGACCCCATATGGATCTTCACCGAAAGCCCCAGCGCCACCGTCCACATGCGTCCCGCACACCCATTTCGGCACACCCTCACACGCTTCGTGGCCGCATAGGGTACTCCACCGAAGGCCCCAGTGCCACCGTCCACATGCGTCCCCCGCACCCATTTCGATACACCCCTCACAAGTTTCGTGGCGCCATAGGGAGCGCCACCGAAGAAGGTATTCACAATTGCGGTACCCACAACTGCAAATGGTTGGGTCCTTCGCCAGGCTATTTTTGTCCTCGGCACCTGCTGGGCAACAACGACGACGACAGCTACGGCTACGATTGCGAGCGCGACTTCGACCACCACTACGACTTCTGCCTCGGAAGCGCTCTCACAGAGCATCCTGCCTCAGAAACTCAATTCTCAGAAACCCTATCCTCAGAAACTCCATCCTCAGAAGCTCCATCCTCAGAAGGACTGCTGAAGCTCAGGACCCATGAGGGCTCTCAGAAACACCATCCTCAGTAACTCCATCCCCAGATATATTGTGAGCAACACGTTCGGCGAAACATATGTCGATTCAGATTGCAATCCCTTCGTAAACGTGCTCAATATTCCTGCCGCACATGGTCGGCCACGGGAGAAACTC